AGAGAGAGAGAGAGAGAGAGAGAGAGAGAGAGAGAGAGAGAGAGAGAGAAAAGAAAGATAAAAGAGACGATCGGCTGTCACGCATGCTGACAGCTGCATGGAAATCAGACGAAAGTTTTTGTGTTACTTTTCCCGAGAGTCGATCCGTCGACTCTTTCGATCGATCGTCACGAGCGAGTAGCGCGTACCTTGATAATTGGCGATTATCCATATCGGCTGTGCCGCTTGGCAATTACGTGAAATATCTAGTGAGATATCATCGTGTTTGGACGTGTCTCGGTGTGTGTGTGGAAAGAGATCTATAATCGGAGATAAACGAGACGAGAACTTCGGCTCGGCGAGTAACGAATCGACACGTCCTCAGGCACGTGGAGATAAAAACGCGCGCGCATATAAATTCCATAATGTTCAATTTAAATTTGCCCACGGACTCTTTGAAAAGAAGAGACACACTGCGCCATTACCGCTCGTGGACGGTTTTGAATTTTTACGATTAGTATTCGATCGAGGATACGCGGGACGCGAGATGCCGGCTGAAAATTATTTCCGTGGCATTTCGCGTCTCGCGTTTTCCGATCATTAGAGAACGCGAATGGTCGAGCAAACGTGCGCCGCTCTTTCGAATATTCATCCGCAAAATCAAAGTTGCTCCGCATCAATTTCGATGCGGCGTTCTTATTTGCCCGCGCAATTAATCCAAATATACACGCGAATATGGTTGGCTACGCGTTTTTGATATTTCGAGTACTGCATTCGCAGAAATAACGTAAGAGCTCCTCGCGACTCTCCGGACAAGATGAATCTGCTTACGTGGAACGTAAGAAAATTCGAAATTCCACGTTTCGGATTCTGAACTTCACATTGCAGAAAAAAGTTAGCCCGACGACTCGCAAGTAGTTGTACCCTCGCCGGCAATCGATCGGCCCAATCCTTCGATGGTGAATCGAGTTAGCCCCGATTTCAAGGAGTTAAGTTCAAGGAAGACGAAGTTTAAAATTAGAAAAGAGAAGCAATAATTTCGTTAGAGTCACTTCAGCTCAAGTAAATTGCGCATGAATAATGCGATGGGTAGAATCGCCGCGTATTGCACATTTGCCGCGCGTTCAATTTCCACCACCCCTCCCGGTTGGCCAGCGGTTATCATCGAAGGGTTGCATCCCCCTTTTTCCCCGCCGAGCTAGTCATTCTTTCCTTTTGCCCCTCGTCGCCCCTCTAATGACTTGTTCGTACGACTTGCAGCTCCACGGTGGCTCACCCCTCGGAATTGCCACCCTCTCCACACCAGTGGGAATAAAAAAGTCTTCCCCGTCCCCGTCCCCGAAACCCGAGGACCCGAAGGTGACTTCGCGTCGCGCTCCAAGGAGAAGAATCTTCAACCGGAAGATAGTATTTCGCCGGAAGAGAAAGGAAGAGGGCGAGAAGGAGGAGGAGAAGAAGAAGGAGGAGGAGAAGGAGGAGCAGGAGAAGCAGAAGGAGGAAGACAAGGGGAGAAGGAAGACTGGGGGACTGGAAGCTGCGAAGAGAAAAGAGCCAAGAGAGAAAATAGACTGCCGAGTACTGTAGCCTCAATTTTTCGACTAGCTGATACATCTACATACGCAGGATGTCTCGCGAGGAATGCACGGAAAAACGGCGGGGGAGGGAGAGGGAGGGGAAGGGGGACGTTCGACTCGAGGAATTTTCGGAGCTTCCGCGATTTATCTCCCGGTGACGTATCTCCCCGGGAATTGCGAGATTATTCAGTTTCACTTCGTAACACGGCGAGCTTCGCGAGAGATCCTGAAGTGTGTTTTTCCGATTTTTCCTCGGGAGCGTATCACCTCCCAAGATAACCTGAGATCTCTCCCTGATTCGGCTTCAGAGAGAGATACTCCAAATAAATTTGAAATCTTCACACACAACGATACACGGCAGGAGATTCCAAGTGTTTTGTCGCGCTCAAATCATCCAAATTTTCGCGAAGTATCGCCTGATCGAAGATTCTCTCGCGAGATTCCGCCGGTTACTCACGAGAAGCGAAGAAGTTTGGTTCGCTAAGAAGTCTTCTAGAGATTAATGCCGAGAACGTTAACAGATGCGACAAAACGGACAATTAAAGATTAAGGACGATTCTCCGTCGGAACGTTCCTCGAGAAGATATCGGCTATTTCGACATTCGAATTTGAATTTCGCAACGAAAGACACCCTGTACTTCCTCCGTGCACCTCACCGTGCATCCTGTGTCATGTTGCGTGTCATATATAGCAATATATATTATACATATTATACGCGCGCGTTGTATACATACAACCGATGGAAAGGGAGGGGTGGGGAGGGGAAGAAAGAAAGAAAGAGGTGAGAGAGAGAGAGACACACAATACACACATAGACGAACACATACACGCATGCACACCTACACAACACATACATTAGCCAATTTAAAACACGACGTAGCCAATTAATTCCGAGAGCGTGGGCGCAAAAAGGGGGGGGGGGGGGGGGAGCGATTCCC